TAGACTCAAACAAGACGGACATCTGGAAATGGGGTATGGCCAGACAAGGACGTTTTTAGTGCCAGTTCTGGGGAAGGCAATCCAGGCGGAGTCTGAGCAGCTAACATCGCACCGCGCAAGGCGAGGGAGCTCCAGCTCTCTCAGGCAGGAGGAGCTTTGGGCACCACCTTTGTGTGTTCTCACTCAAATGACAGCTCTCCAACGTCCTCTCCAGGCGGCTCGGATCCTCTCCGATATCTCCCGTTTACAGAGCTCACATGTTTGGAGGAGAAACGCCACAGCGCTCTGAGCAGAACCCACAGGCCAAGAGGCAAGCAGGTTTAATCCCGGCTCAGACAATGACTCATCGGACAGAGCACGTAGCCTCTCCGCCTCAGTTTCTCTCCATTTGCCTAACAGAAAGGAGATACAAAGCAGCTAATCCTGTCCATAAGCAAACATCAGCACAGCTGTAGTTTTACAGCTTCTCAATCATTTTCACCCTTTATTATTGCTTGAAATCCTTCAGAAGAATCCCAGTCCCTACCAACCGCACACCCACGCAGATGCACCTGACGAGCTACCCTATGGGCAGCAGTGCTAACGAAGTATATTATCTTTTATAACGAAGCATATTCCTGCAAATATGTCCCTTGGGTCACCTCCCCATGCAGATTTCCCCCTAGCCAGCAAAACCTGAGCTCATGCTGCCCTCTCCCACAGCAGGCACCGCTAACTGGGGTTTTTTTCCCCTCTTCTCCCAGGCTACTTATTTTCATGAAACTCACAGAAATTTAACTTTCAGATTTCTGCCGCCTGCCTGGTTTGGCTGTGAGAGGCACAGACTCAAAAGTTGCCAGGAGCAGGAAACACGCAGACAGCCACACGCAGCAGCAGCATCGCGCAAGCCTCATTTTCCTGGGAAACCAGACGAAGTTGTTCATGTAGCTGTACAACACCCGATCAGTATAGGAAGCAGGAGACCCAATCCGGTCTGGCTGGTGACTCAATTGGGAGCATTAATATTTCATCACCAGTCTTAACATTCAGGAGAAACTGCTACTTCCTCGCAGCACACAGCCGTCGTTTTTCCTCCTGAGGACATGGCCCTATTTTTCAGTCAAAGTAGATGCAAACAGTGCAGATCCCACAGCAAAACAATTCTGCTGCTGGAGTTTACCTGTCCGTGGCACTACGGTGAAATGGGGTGTTCTTTGCACAAAGGTATTTTACTGGAGCCACTATGGCAAAATCAGGTTAAATCCAACTTTGGGGAACTCACTAAGAGATGCTCAAGACCCTATCTGGAAAATACAAGCACAAAACTACACGAAGCTTTGAAATCATCATCGTCTTCACCTCAGGCTGCCAGCGAAATGCCCTGGGCAAACCCCACCTTCCAGAGCCTGTTCGCCTTCACTCTGCGAAACACATCCCACCCCGAGTCCTACAGAGCAGCAGACGAGCCTGTCTGCTTGTGGACGTCAGCGCAGGCTGGGAGCGTGTGAGCCTAGCAGGCACCTCTTCCTGTCTGCTGGGGTTACGCAAGTCCCCTCACGGGGAGCTAGCAAAGAAGTTACTGCACAAGTCCTAACCCTCGCACACATGCTCAGCACCCCTCAGGATCTCCACAAAGGACCCTTACAATACCCATTTACCTTTTCTCCATCCCACCTACACCCTTCCCTGCAGCCCAGGTTCCTTCCCCAGTGCCAGACGTCCTCCTGCCATCTGAAATTCATGGCTCAAGGAAGAGACCCACACACCCATCCAAAGGAGCGCCCAGGGACCTCCCTTTGGGGAACTGCCACACTAGACCGCGCTGCTCTAACCTCCCTGCCTGGAAAATAAAAGACCCTAACAAACTGGCCTCCCACAACTGCAGATTATGCCTTGCCCAGCTATAAAAGCACACTTTCACCCCAGGACACGCTGTGGATGTTTGCCAGGTGCTCGTAAAAGAGCAGGGGAAACAAGGCACTAAAACCTCACCACAGAGCCAGCTAGCGAGGGCAGCTAGAGACCAGAGGGTATAACGCTAGCTTCATCTAGTTACCGTGCAATAAAGACTACAAGGATAGCAGCTCTGCTTAGCGTTTCCAACCAAAATGATCGGTTATTTCATATTTAAGACATCATTGCATGCCTTCGAAGATTACAGCTTGTTCACAAACCGACAAGCTGCTTTGTGACCACGTTATATTCCAAGGGCAGGGATAAGTTTGGACACCGAGCCCGTTTTTTTTCCAACATACCGGTCGTGTGCGCACGTACGGCATTCTGGCACTTCCTGCACGCACTCTTTGAGTTCAAACTAGGCATTTTAGGGCTCTATTATCCCCTTGCATATTTTGATATGTCAGGTGTTGCACAGAGATCAGTTCTGAGGTGAATCTGGGCTCAGTTTTGCTGCACCCAGAGCTCTAACCCAGGTTCCTCCTCGTCCTGCCCTCCCGCAGACACTGGCTGAGTCAGAGCCCCTGCACGACTGCCACTACAGCTTGCAAGCCTACCGCTTAGATTTACTTTTCTAGAGAAATAAAAGCCCTGACGCATACAGCGGTCTAAAAGAGCCTGCTTTACTGCTTGAACACCGAGCACATCCACTTACGAGGAAAAAGTGGCGAGAAAAAGTTTTTATTTGATTTCAGAGACTAAAAACCAGGACGAAATAGAGCATTGCACAACACCTTTCACAGAGGGTGATCGCAGGCTCTATTAAAACCGAGCTTGCCCATCGCCGAGGCACCGAGCCACCCCTCCAAAGGGGAGGTGGTCGTGGACGTGCAGCGGCGACGCGACTCTGACGTCTCCCACCGACTACGGGGTAGAAGCGGGGAAGCCGCACAAGGCACCCAGCTTGGGATTTGGCCAGCTCTAACACCCCGCTACGTCCCTACCCCAACGGGATGCTTACACAGACCCAAAGCAGTGCTTCCCCAGCCTCGTAAAAGGGGGGGAAAAAAAGGCAGTCTACAATCCAGCCAAGTTCAGACCCAGAACCGAACAACACCCCTAGACACAGGAACTCCCTACAACCAACTGCGCAGTCGCTCCAGCTCCCAACACCTTCGGGTCTGTCCCGATGCCGCTGACCCAAAGGGGAGCTTCAGGGGTGCCTCTTCCTCTAAAGACGGCTCAAGGAGGCTTCATCTCCCCACAACCGCCCCCAGTCCCCCTGCATCACCCCCCATC